ATAAATAGGTAATTAAAACAGATGACTAAAATTAAGTCAAGCTGCAGAACATTACCCAGGATGCACTATGTTTTTGTGTTGTTGTTGTTTTTTTTAATAAACATCTCAGGCAATTTTTTCCCATCCAAAGCCCAAAGCACTTCAGGAGAAAAAAAAGAAGTAGGAAGTTTCATAGGGGAAAAAGCATACATATATAATGAAATAATGCCAAACCCCAAACTAAAGTATTTACAAGATAGTCCCTGAAGCACAGTTTGTCATATTGCAATTACACCTTGCCTACTGCCAAATCAAAGTGCTTACTATTTCCACTAGGGGGAGAAATATCTTAACATAAGGCAACGGCAGATATGGAACGGGTTTTCTTGAGCAATTATCAGAACAAAGCTCCCTTGGCTGTGTGTACCTTCTAATTACTCAATACAATTAAAATGACTAACCTAAAACAAATAGGAAAAAAACCTGCCAGCCTGATATGAGGGACTTCATTAAACCTTTCCCCCTCATCAATCAAATCAGAAAGAAGGGAATGCCATTACATATTATACAAACATTACAGAGCTATTAAAGGAAGTAAATTCAGTGAGTTTCTTACTTTTTTTTTTATAAAGGAAGTGGCTCTCTTGAAAAAGAAATGTCGTGGTATTTACCCATCTGGATGCTGCTTGAAAACAAATTGTCCTCCTAAGAGCAGAAATACAGTATGTTTTCTCTCAGTTCACTGGCTTATGAATGATTTTTTGTTGTTGTTGTTGTTTTGTTCATACACATGATAATGTCATTTTCTGTGTCAGCGATGTGCTTGTTCCTCCTACTCATCCAACTGTATAAAGGAGCTATGCCAATCAGACCTCCATGCTTACACTGGATTGTTTTAACTTTAAGTTCTTTTCTGCTGGTTTCTGTGCATCTACTCCAAGTTAATGTTTAGAACAACACAGGAATTTAGGGGAGGGGTGGGGTGGTAGGAAAGGAAAACAGCTACTTATTCCTTCTAAAAGGCTTATGCAGTTCCTTTTATAAGGCCCAGTCATTAACAGAAGATGACAAGAGAGTCATTTTTCTTCAGCTGACAATTGCGACATTTTTCCAGCAGCGTGCAAGGTGTTGAAAACCTGGCAGCTGTTACCTCCTGGGATGAAGATACTTTTTTATCCTCCCTTGACAGTTTAACTCAGTGGGTCAGCACCTTTAAAGACTGCAAAGTATCCTTGAAGAGGATGGAAGCTTGAATTACTGCTCCCTCCCTAATCAATGTAAACCCTCACTGCAGGTGAAGCCTCCATCTATAGAGGTGCATGGGGGAGGAAAATGTAATGCCCTGAGCCAGATGGTTTTTATCTTGTTTTTAAAGAATAAAGGAACAAGCTAACAAGGGAGACAGCTACTTTGTTAGCTTCTTGGCCTCTCTCATGGCTTTGCATCCCCAGGGTTCCAGCTACACAAGAGAAAGAATACAGAAAAACGTAAACACTTAAAGAAATATAACTAGAGGGCTGGCATCATGCTGCTTTCAAAGAGTTGAGAGGGCTCTACTCAATGCTTTATTTATCACTACCCACGTTCTCAGGATGGTAAGTGGACACATACACAAAGGGAATGGGGGATGGGGGAGGGATTGGACCGAGGTCACAATTTACTCAATTACAGAGAAAGGCAGAGTTGACAGATCCTATTAGCACCAATGTAAAGCTAAGAAGGAGTATGCATGTTGTAAGGCTATGTTTTCAAAAAGTAATGAGTACTTTCATGTATCTTCTCAGGCCTTTGCCCTTGTTTGTAGATATGAATACTATGAACACAGTTGCTATGGTTTTCTGGGCTTCACATTCTAGGAATAAAAGTAAAAAGAAAATTGTAGCTACTCTGTACATCTTTTAAATAAAAGTTTACACTTATAACAACAAGAGGTCAGAAGATTATTCAGAAATTTAGCAAATTAAAAAAATAATCACACCCCCCCCCCACTGCCTTCTAATATTGGATATAAAATGGAAAAGCAGGTATACAAAACAACTTGGTGACATAGGGAGTAATGTCTTCTGACTTTCTCTTTCAATCTTTTTTCTGCTAATGTCTTTGTCAAGCCTTAGAATTATGGTTACAGTAAACTCATAATACAAGTCAGGGAGGGTTCTTTTCTACTCTGTTTTCTATTTTGGTGTTATTTATTCCTCAAATGTTTGATAGAGTTCACCAGAAAACCATGTGGGCCTTTTGATAATTCAGTTTTTCAACAGACATAGGGCTCTTCAAATTTTATTTCACCTTGTTTTGGTATCAGTAATTTGTGTTTTTCAAGGAACTGGTCCATGTCATCAAAGATGCCAAATATTTGGTATAAAGTTATTTATAATATTCCCTTGTACCTTTTTTAATGTAAGAACTGTAGTGATACTTCTTTCAGTTCCTCTAACAGTTAAATAACTCTAAATTAACAGGCAGTGTTCATATCCTATCAACAATGATTAAACTATACTTTAGAATAATATATATAAACTCTAAAATTAGTTCAAAACAACACTAAATTTATTAGAACATAACAGTATTTTAAAACCAGAGGTTAAAGAGTGGTAAGCCCCTAGAAATACTAGGGGCTTGCATACTAGAAATAGTATGCAAAACAATCTCAAGTTAAGGGACTAGGCCACATGATGCAAATCCTACTTATATCGACATGAGGTAAAAGGCAGCTCTGACACCTTTTTATCTATATAACTTGACTAAAGGTGGGGTATGGAGAGCAAATGGCATTTCATTATTGTCCTATGCATAGAGAAAAGAGGGCGTATAAACAGTTTCTATACTATATCCTACATTAAAAACTCAGTGATGGGGTAATCAAGTTCAGAGCAGTCCTGGACAGCTGCCCTGTGACCCTCTAGTATTGACCCCTGTTATTCATCACTCATCCCTAAGATTGAGAGGGCAAGCTCCTAGAGAGTGACCACCACAATAGACAGACACAAGCCAACAGTAATCTGGTTCCAGCAAAAAACCAGATGGCACTGCAATAAATTTACAAATCTGCATTCATGGGGCTGTTAAAACACCCAGAAGCTAAAAGACTCTGAGGGCCCCAGGAGGATCTCTTACTTCCCCATTTCTAAAGGCCATTTCTCTTTCCAAGAACACTGAGTTCATGCTCTTCACAAAGAGAATAGAGATAAAAACCCTTTACAAAGAAAGGAGTGGGGAAAGCCTCATGACCTAATTAATCTTCAGAGCTTGGATCTCAACACTGAATGACAGATATTAGAAAAATAATTTTGGAGCACTAGGAGGATAAAAACGAAACTAAAAAATGCTTGTTAAATTAAAGCAGACGGGGTAAAGAGAACCTGCTAAAAAAGCAATGAAAAAATAAAAACATTAAATTTTTTTCAAACACTGCACAAAACAGATCTTGCAAGTAGAAAATGATTCAATAATGTATGCATTTATTTTTAAAATGAATCAAATTAGTCCCATGTGTGACCTACTGGTCCATCTGTATGTGCTGGACTTAATAGGCACGATTCTCTCTCTTGCTTCAGTTTGAAGTATGAGAGAGATAAATTTAGTTTAATTTTCAACAGATCAGCCTATCCATTTTCCAAATGGACCATCTGGATCAGCCTATTAAAATTAATTTATAACTTTGCAGAGTGAAAATTCGTTTGTTAGCTTAAATAAAGTTGCCAAAACTTTTTGTCATGTCATTGTTTTCTGACAGTTGTTTCTGTGTAGTGGGCAGAGTGTTTCCACTTCCAAATTTATCTTATTCAATTTCATCCTATATATTTAGATTTATAGATCAGGTGTTTATCTCTAAGAGTTAAAACTCTAACTGAACAATATCAATGCTTGATGATCATCTGGCTACTTAACAAAGCTTCCTGAACAGATTCAATTCTACTTACAATTATTTTTATTAAAAAAATTTCCATCCAAAATTGTTTTAACATAAATAAAAAATGATGTGTCACAATTTCAATTACTTTTCCCCTAAATTAACACTGTCTACCAACTAGAGGTAGAGGGCGGAAGTAAAAATGCTTTGGCAACACTGAGATCTTTCAAATCACTGACTTGATAATTAAACAAGTCATCAGATCTTTCTCGGCCTCCATTTTCTTCATCTATAAACTGGAAATCATATTTAGCAACTTTACACGGTTCTTGTGAGGGTTAAGTAAAATTAAGTATCAGCTTCACAGTGGGTGCACAACAAATATTCAATCTCTTCTCCTTCTTAGAATAATGCCATAGATGCAAGTAAATTAAAATTATTTTTACTACTGCTGGTGCTCATTTACTCCAATTTTATATTTAAAATAAATATTTGTGCATACCTATTCTCTGGCAACACTGTAAGAACTTGTTTTTGCTGCCAGTGGGAGATGGAAGATGTTAGAGGTTGCTACAGGCAGTGAGAAGAACCAATTTTTTGACCAAATGTTTTTTAACATTTTAGTTTTTAAAAACAGAGCACCACAGAATTGAACTTTCAAAGAAAATATTATCTTTGAGAAGTCGGGCACTGTGGTGAGTAAAAATTATTTTAAAGTTGTCATTAATATTGGCCTTTACTTCCAGAAAAAGCAAACAAATTTGCTCAGACTTAAAGGAGCTAACTTCATTACTGGTAGATCCCTTTTGGTTTTTATTATTTTTTAGCGTATGAAGAATCTTAATAAAAAAGTAAGGTTTAAACTATTCTACTATCTGCATTTAAGTTACATTTCAAGTTATTTTCCCCTGAATAAGAAAACTTTCCTTTGATTTTTGTTTTCACTACGTGTAAACAACTGACTGCCCTGTACTTGTACACTTAGGATAATTTTTAAATGACTGGGAAAACAATGTTAACTGACTGAAATTGATGACTTGAGAGCCAGACAAACTTCAGAGTATTCTTAATTTAAGCTCCAGTACTTAACAAATGGCAAATTGAGGGTTTCCTGTCTTTTGTTTTGTTGTTGGTAGCTTTTTATTTTAAGTAAGACTGAATTTCATACCTGTCTAAGTGAATTCTTCTCTGGTATTATCTTCCTAGGGGGTTCGCCATTATTACAGTCTTCTCTCTCTGAGGAATTCTGTGAAAGAAAGTAAGCTTTAATTCAGTTCTCATTATCTTCAATCTTATTCTGTGGGAGTAAACTGAATTACATTTCTAATTCTGTAAGCTAGAATACCGTGTATATTTATGCATTTGTTCATATGAAGATTTATATACATATAGACATACACTTATGTAAAGGAAAACATATGCCCATGTATATAAATAAATGTATGTAGGGACCTAGGTGGGAAAGTATTTCATCTATATTTAAGCACTGTCCAGAAGATCATATTCATTATAAGTCTAGTTTATCATTCTTTGAAAATGCAGGTTGGCACTGGACACGAAAAAGCTCCAATCTATACTTAGCTGATAACAACTTAAGCCAGGATTACTGCCTTCTCTTAAAAGTTTTAAACCATAGTAAAGTTTGATTGGTCCAAGTTCTCAAAGTCGGATCCTAAAAAAAATTTAGTTATTTCTCTTCCTCTCTCAGATTTGATTTTATTAAAAATAGTGCTTAGTTAGCTCAAAGCAATAAAATTTAATCAGGGTTTAACAGTTAAAATCCACTCTTTCCACTATAAACTCAAATAGCAGCTAGAAGACCCTAAAATGTCAATGAGATGTTTAATACTTAAAAAGAGGGAAATAACAATTCAGTTGGAAGCAAGTTCAGAGTTCTAAATATCAACAGAGTAAAAAGGCAACCCATAAAATGGGGGGAAGATTGCAAATTATTTATCTGATAAAGAATTAACATCCAGAATATAGACAGACGTTGTAAAAACTCAACAACAAAAAACAGAACCACCTGATTCAAAAGTGGATGAAGACTTGAATAGAAATTTATCCAAGAATATATACAAATGGTCAACAGGCACATGAAAGGATGTTCAGTATCACTACTCATTTCATAAATGAACAGCAAAACTACAAGGTACCACACATTCATTAGGTAGGCTACTATCAAAAACAAACAAGCAAAAAATAACAGGTATTGATGAGGCTGTTGAAAAACGAACTTTCGTGCATCTTTGGGGGGAATGTAAAATGGTATATCTGCTATGGGAAACAGTATGGTTTCTCAAAGAATTAAAAAAGGAATTACTATATGATCCAACAATTCCACCTCTGAGTACATACTCAAATGAACTGAAAGAGGAGTCTTAAAGAGATATTTGTACATCTGTGTTTGTGGCAGCATTATCCACAACAGCTAAAACACGGAAGCAATGCAAGTGTATGCTGATGGATGAATGGTTAAGCAAAATTCAGTATATACTTACAATGGAATAATATTCAGCCTTAAAAAGGAAGGAAATTCTGACACATACCACAACATTGTTGAATCTTGAAGACATTATACCAAGACATTATACTAAGTGAAATAAGCTAGTCATAAAAAGATAAATACAGCATGATTCCACTGACATAACACACTTAAGAGTGTTCAAAATCATTCATACAGAAGGTAGAATGTTGATTACCAGGGGCTGTGAGAAGGAAGGAATGGGGAATTATTGTTCAATGGGTAGAGTTTCAGTTTAACCATATGAAAAGAGTTATGGAGATGAATGGGGGTGATGGTTGCACAACATTATGGATGTATTTAATATCACTGAACTGTATACTTTTAAAATGGTTAAGATGATAAATTCTATGTGTATTTTACCACATTAAAAAACAACTGAAAAAAATCTGGCAATCCACACATGTAAATCACTATCTGCAAGGCAAAATACAGAAAATTGAAATACACATTATTTGGGCTCTATTTTCCACAATTACATGTATGTGTGTGTGCCAAGTCACTTCAGTCGTGCCTGACCCTTTGTGACCCAATGGACATAGCCTGCCTGGCTCCTCTGTCCATGGGATTCTCCAGGCAAGAATACTGGAGTGGGTTGCCATGCCCTCATCCAATTACATGTGTAATGTTAATATTTTAGAAAGTGCAGCTGATTTACTCATTATATTACATATATTCATCATATTCTAACTGAGGAGTTACTTTCAGATCCAAAAATTATATCCAACATGAGTTTAACTGAAAAATTTCATACAAGTATGAAATCTAATACAGGATCATAATGGTGTTTTAAACTTAGTATACATTTTTTGCATTTTATATCAAGAGGCCCTCTATGGCTAACATCTGTGTGCCTTCTGTGTCACACCTTGATAGGCCAGCACACTAAGGTGTTCCTTTTGGCCAGAAATCTCTTATGAGATTTAACTTAATATTTTACATTTGTAATGACCACTTTAAGGTCCCTAAAATCAATACAAAGAAAAAGAAAAAAAAATGTTATGTTACAAGCTAGGGATAGAAGCTCAATAACTTCAGAATTCTAACTGCTTTTATTCTCCAATACAAATGAATTGTATTCAATTAAGCCAATATTCAATTTTAAACTTATAATCTGTAAGTAACTACTTCCCAGTCCATGAAGTTACACACCCTCCTTTAAATAAAATACCATTTCAGATTACCTAAACCTGTTTAATTCAATGTAAGCTCCTATATTTCAAAAAAAAATTTTTTTTTAATGTCATCATAATAAAGTTGGAAGCTTAATTACTTTCTGGTGAAAGTCTGTTATACTGAAGACATTATAAAGCACATTTTTACTCTACAGGTGCTTGGGATGAAACAAAATTGATGGCAAGCTCTCTACACTAAATTACATAGCAAAAAAAACTGTGATCTTAACCTAATGCGATGAGTCAGTTCAGTTCAGTTGCTCAGTTGTGTCCGACTCTCTGCGACCTCATAGACTGCAGGACGCCAGGCTTCCCTGTCCATCACCAACTCCCGGAGCTTACTCAAACTCATGTTCTTTGAGTCAGTGATGCCATCCAACCATCTCATCCTTTGTCGTCCCCTTTTCCTCCTGCCTTCAATCTTTCCCAACATCAGGGTCTTTTCCAGTGAGTCAGTTCTTCGAATCAGGTGGCCAAAGTATCGGAGTTTCAGCTTCAGCATCAGTCCTTCCAATGGATATTCAGGACTGATTTCCTTTAGGATGGACTGGTTGGATCTCCTTGCAGTCCAAGGGACTCTCAAGAGTCTAGTCCAACACCACAGTTCAAAAGCATCAATTCTTCTGTGCTCAATGGCTATCTAGCCCAAATCAGCAATTTTCTTCCTCCTGACCCTCTATTTTTTCTGATTTAGATGGGAAACTATTGAGTGAGCATTATAAGAATGTCTAAGGTATTAAAAGATGAAGGGAGCTAAAGGATGATTACTACATTAGAGCAGAACACAGAGCTGAAGAGGAGCTCCTTTCCCTTCTCCATCCCATCAGGGCAAAGGATATATATATTATTTATTTTGTTGTTTAAAAAAAAGGTAACTTTAACATTAACACGCAGGAAAAGGAGAAAAACACTGTTATAGCTAGTTTTTTTTTAGAGAGTTTAACCCAACATTTTTTGCTCTTTTTCCTGACTTCTTTAATCATTTTTTACTTTTTACTGGAACATCCACCATGAGAAAATAAATCAATACAAAAAAATTCAATTATGTTGTTGCTTAAAACAGAGGTAGTGACATTAAACAGTCATGTTATCAGGAGTAAGGAGTAAGGTATCCTTCTCAGAGTGAAGAGGACAGCCAAAAAGTCAGTGAATAAGAAATTAATAGCTCTACAGTCTTGAGGATGGCCGGGAATGATGAAACAGCCAACGTACCTGATAGTCACCTTGGTGGTTCTCAAAGACTGTGCTCTCCAACATCACCCAGTTCAGTAGCACAGTTTTCCTTGTATCTTTAACTATGATGCATTCCAATATATTCACAACTGCCCTTGGTCATATCAAGCTAAATGTCCAATTCTAAATTATGTCCAATCAAGCTAAATTAAGTTCTACTTCAGTTCAGTTCAGTCGCTCAGTCATGTCTGACTCTTTGCAACCCCATGAACCACAGCACACCAGGCCTCCCTGTCCATCACCAACTCCCAGAGTCCACCCAAACCCATGTCCATCGAGTTGATGATGCCATCCAACCATCTCATCCTCTGTCATCCCCTTTTCCTCCTGCCCTCAATCTTTCCCAGCATCAGGGTCTTTTCAAAGGAGTCAGCTCTTCACATCAGGTGGCAAAAGTATTGGAGTTTCAGCTTCAACATCAGTCCTTCCAATGAACACCCAGGACTGATCTACTTTAGGATGGACTGGTTGGATCTCCTTGCAGCCCAAGGGACTCTCAAGAGTCTTCTCCAACACCACAGTTCAAAAGCATCAATTCTTTGGCACTCAGCTTTCCTTATAGTCCAACTCTCACATCCATATATACTTATGGGTAATTAAGACTCATCATACTAGCAGGTGACAAATAAGAGGGTAGTCACATAATCTCAAAATATTTCTACATAAGATACTTAATAATTACAAAAGAAAAAACAGCCTCACAGAAGAGAGATCTGGTAGAAAACACCTTAACATTATGTGCCTCTTGACATGGTATATTGAGAAGAACACGTTATTACTTCTGAGGTAACCTTGCCCAAAACACATAACCTCAATCTGCTCATGAGAAACAACAGACTAGCCTGAATTGAGGGAAATCTTAGAAAATTTCTAGTCTGTACCTAACAAAAAAAAGTGTCAAGGTCATAAAATACAAAGGAAGACTAAGGAACTGTTACAGGTTAAAGAAAACTAAAGAGACAAAACTGAATGCAGCCTGTGATCGGAAGTTATTTGGTGGGGGGAGGAGCTGAAACAAAATTGATGGTAAACTCCTCTGCACTGACTTACATAGTGAGAAACAAGTGATCTGAGCCTAACAGGGTGAGTAAGGACTATCGAGCCCATATCCACAATTTTCTTTCTTCTCCACCCTTTACTTCATCTGTTCTTGATGGACAATAATTGAGTGGGTATTATAAATGGGACATAAGGTTTGTATAAAGGACAATATCAGAATTATTGGAAAAATTTGAAACAAGTCTATAGATGAACTAATAAAATATAAATGTTAATTTCCTGATTGTTTCTCCACTTTTAAAATTAGCATGTGGA